TACAACACTGGGCTAGAGTCGCCGGTATAGTACACTACATGTCCAGTCCAGGGAAAGGGGGGGGGGGGGGGGCAGCATCGCTTAGAAGACAAGGCAGTAGTGCTGACATTTTTGCGTAACAAACGAAGGTCAAAGCTGAACACAGACTGCAAACCAGTGCTGCGTCTGCGCAACGTTGACGCAATCGTCGTGTTCAAGCTGTGACCAGCGTTGGCCTTCGCTGATGAAGACATCTCTGTCAGCACTACTGCTTTCTTATCTAGGAGGTGTTGGGGTAGGGGTGGGGGAGGGGGCGCTTGTTCTAAGTTTTCCAAAAGCAACTGAAAATATAAGAACGACATGCACAGGCTTTGTTTAGGAAGACGTTTTAGTTGTGAAATGGCAAGTATCAGGTCAACAATAGAGATCGGAGCAACGCTTTGCCCGTGACGTCAGATCCCCCCCCCCCCCCCCCCCCCACAAACACACACACACACACACACCCCAAGTCCTGAACTATAAATGTGCTCACGGAAACAAAGACACGATTAATGTTTTCAGCCAGTCCAGGTAATATGTGCTCGATCACGCTACTTCAGTAACCTATCTCGAGTAATTTAGTGATTACTTGAAGTTCCACCGCTCCTTTGCCTCGATGTTCGTTTTCTAGGGCGCGGCCATTTTTAGGTGATAGTTTGACAAGTTTTATCGTCAACACAAGGGAGATTTTTTTTTTTTAGCAACCCTGTTGCACGGAGAGACGAACGGCAAATGTCGAAAACCTTGTTCTTGTCGCCTGGAAGACATCTTCGCCGACTTGTTCTTCGACGGTCGGGGAACACCCTGTCACACCGCGATGACGGTGCGGCAACACGGGGAACGCTTCGCCACACTGCTGACTTATCCTCGTTCGTGGGCGGTGGACCGTCCCTTTGAGAAATTGAGCGCCACCTATAGTTAGTGGCTCAAATGTCAATATAAATTTAAAAAACAAAGACGAGATAGAGGTAAATTTGAATATTACCACCATTTGGCTCGAACGAATCAATAGCTGCAATAAAAGCAAAAAAAAAAAAACGCTGAATGTGATGACATAATTAGAGGTTTCAGCTGCCATGTGCTTGCCGCTTGGGAGGGAACGCGTGCAGTGTTTTTGATGTCTCAGGTATGGCTTGCGGAAGGTGCGGAAATGATGATATCTCTGTATAATTCGTCACTATTTCCTCTTTCCACCGAACGCGCCGAAAAGGAGGGGCTTCGATGCTACTTTGAAAGTGCTGTTGTCACTACTTGGCGCATCAATCCGAAATAGAAATATTCCTGATACTGGACGCCAGGGGAGGATGTCTGAAGTGTGTGTGTGTTTTCTCAAATAGAGAACCGTCTTAGTATCCCTTTAAGTTCATACACTGCCAACGCTGCGAGATAATTGGACCAAGTCACGAGGCAGCGGCGTTACAGAACCTTGATGTATAAAATGGTATCACGGCTTCAATGTGGGTCGGTGCTACGTCCTTGCCGGTTGAATATTTGTCATCACCGAAACTGAGACATCCACAAAGAATTGTAAGGTAAAAATACAGATTCTCGACTATTGTTCACTACCGAAAGTGATGGTGCCCGGTAAAGTACTACAGGCTGCCGGTCGATGACTAACTTTAGTACGGTAAAAATAAGATGCTTTTTGAGTCATTATAATGGCACTAAATTTCGAAAAGGGTCCATTGGGATAGAAAAATAAGTGTGGGCCTCTAAATGCTCTTAAGTGTGCAGGTTGTTTGTGGTATGTCGGTTTGGTGTTAACAGTAGATATAAGGATATGTTGATCGTTGTTACAAGTGGCCATCACCGACTTGTTATGTCTGATTCACTCGGTTCAATCCTGCTTGCGATTTTCAGCATCGACATCGAGCTTCGCAGCGACCCTCCACGCTTTTGCAGCCCGAGCGACGCCACGACTGAACATAGCGTGGAGATTCTCATCTTGTGGGCCAAGTTTTAGCGTCCATTCTGCGGCGTTCACGTGGAATGAATCGTCGCATACATGGGTAAATTACTTCCAAAATGCAATTTAATTACAATTACAATTACTTTGCTTCAAAAGTAGTTTAACTACAATTCCAATTACTACTACGTGAAAAGTATTTAATTACAAATACAAATTGCTTTTAAGAAGTAATGCAATCACTTTAAAATTACCTATTTCTGAGAGCGACCCGAGTTAAGCAATGTAACTTTAAACGAGTTGCATAGAATGCAACAGACTTATTTAAAAGACTTCAACTTGAGGTCTTTTAAATAAGTCACCCGCGATCAAGGGACCGAGTTGGTCCCGAAACGTCGGGAGTTTTGCTTTTAATAAAGCTTGGTTAGAGTTTCAAGTTGAAGCCTTTTAAATCATCCCTAACCAGACGGATGTCCGTCGAAAATGTTTACAACATACTTATTTGTTCATTCCTTGCCCGAATGTTTGAGGAGGCTTAAGCATTGCTACATAAATGTCACATATTGTACTTTCCTTTTATGAATTTGTTTTAAATTCTCGATGGAGCTTTACAGTTTGGAGCAATGAAGTACTACGTTCTTGTATTTTTATTAAATATTAATCAATTAGTTCATATGCTGGAAAACACCAGATCGCTAATTGGGTTGACAGACTTTTGTTAGCCAGGCAAATAAAAAAGCGACAATTATTCACACAGGAATATTTTACAAATGTTAATATAAAAGAAAAACCCACACGCGCTAATTCGATCACATTCACATACACACATCATGGTATTGTAAAATATTTACATTGAGTTGAAATTATAATGGCTCAGAAATAAATAAGTACCGAATGGGGACTCCCGAATCATTGGCGACAATATTCACAGGTGCGAGGTCAGTCTCCAAAATGGTTATGCAAATAATATCCGAAGCAAAAACAAGAGGTATAAACTTGAAAATAGTACAAAGATAGCCATATGCGACGACAGTACTGGAAGGGGTACGTAAAAAACTGGCAAAGAAGAAAGAAAAATTACTTCAAAGTCTCATAGACAAAATTTCCAACCTCAGCTAAAAGCTGAAGCTTAATTTTGTTTTCTCTCAATATTTTGGCATGTTTAGGCTTTAGTTTTCTTTTCGCACCGCAGACAGCGCTACACGGCGCCGTTAACGTAGGCTCGAAAGAGGATTGTCTCTCACCCCGCAGTGTAAGCAACAAAACAACAAACAATGCGACCCTATTTATGTTGTGTGTGAGTGTGAGTCTGTGTCTTGAGTGTTTCACCGAGAGCTATAGGCCGCTTGTGCGAGCGCTGAGGGTTTCAGAGAGGTTCCGTCAGCGCCGCAAAAATTTTGCAAAAGTAATTGTAATTGTGAAAAGACGGTGAGAGTGCAGGCGAGCTGGTGGTAGCTAATCATGTCGTATTACACCTGAGACCGCGGTGGAAGAAATCGGAAGAACTTTCAGTAGAAGGAACAGACACAGAGAACGTCTCAAAAACGCTCCCTGTGTCTGTTCCTTCTACTGAAAGTTCTTCCGATTTCTTCCACCGCAGTCTCAAGTGTAATACGACATAATTGTAATTGTGCCTGAAATTTTGCAATTACTGACGCTAGAAAGTAATTAAATTACATTTGCAGTTGCTTTTAGCCGAAAGTAATTATTTACAAATACAAATCACCAAGGAAAGTAATTAAAGTATAGTAATTTAATTACTGTAAGTGAATTACTAACAAGTAGGAATCGTCGCACGTCACATTATTTACGGGAAGCTTTGCGGTGTAACGAGCCTCGTCAATTTCGCTGAGGCCACTAAAGTAGTAAGACACTGCTAGGACGACGAAGAAGCAACAATGCTGACGCGAAAAAGAGCACGGGGGCTCACACCGCGACGCCGACATCACATTCCAGTGGTTTGTTGATGCTGCAGGATGCGGTGTTTCTTGGCCACAGCCCATCGCGCACGGTACGGCGCTGCTGGCCTGTCGCTCGGGGCGCTCCAGTTTGTTTGTAAACATGATCCCTACTCCATGAAGTAACGAGGGTGGAAAACGGGGACCAGGTAACGGGGTTGAAAAAGACGGAGTTATTTACTTCTAGAAGTAACGCCTTACTTTCTTTGTTTTCTTCAAGTTATACAGTAACGTTGTGACCTACGTTAAACTAGAAAAAAGAAGAATCGGGGCAAAAAATATAACGCACTGCTGGAAGGTCAACCGCGAAAACAAAAACTCTTTGATCTTTAATTATCAGGCTCGCGAGAGGCAATTATTAGAATCAGTCGAATGTAGTTCCACGAGCACGACAGCGCGCCAACTGTTCAACTTTGCGGGTGATGTCTGTGCTCGTCTGTTCTTTCGGCGCGTCTGGGTGGTAACGCAAATAAGACCGAGTTGGGAGATTTACAACAAGGTGAGTGATGCGCAAAATTCTCGTAGAAAACAAGCAACTATCTCGTTATTCATCCAAAAACTTTCCGAAAGTAAACACTCGCTAGCCTACGAAGGAAAAGAGAGAACGAACATTAGACTGGTTTTCTCGCAAGCAAGAGGGAAAAGTTAACGAGCCGCGCGTTAACGTCCAAGCCCGGAACTTCTCGGAGCGCGTTCGAGAGACCCGGAAAGTCCGGTGGGCAGCCGGAGGAGGAACCCCAAGCGCATTGCCGGCAGTCGTCTGGGAGGCGCGCGACAGTGCTCTATCTGCTGCGGCAGACCGCCGCCGTCGGCCCTTGTCCGCCAGACAGGGCAGGCCGCAGACGGCTTTGCAGCGACGTGTCACTGCGGCTTCCGCGAAGAAGGATCATCAGCGCTCGCCAGGAAGACCCATCATTCCGGATTGGAAAAGGGCCGCCGCCACGACCAAGCGGCGGCGCGCCGCTTATCCCCTAGTCGCGTCTGGTCGATAATAATAGTAATAAATAGAGGGAGAGAGAAGGCTGGCCTTTATGGAGGCGGAGAGGGAAGCCGCCGAGGGGGAAAGCGCGGTCGCCATGGCAACCATCTCCTTGAACGCCGTTAACATCTGCGCAGGCGCACTGGGGCTCCCGCTCCTAATGATAATTAAACTTGGCGGGACTCGTCGGCCGACGGTTCGTGCGTCTCGCAGGTCGGCCCCGGAGCTGCGCTGCTCGCGCCCGCGAGGACGCTGGCCGACATCGACGGCTTGGGCGGCGGTGTGCGGGTTGCCGCGGCGGCTTTTCGGGCGACGACCGGGCAAAAAGCGCGCGTCGACGCGGTGACGGTGGACCGGCGACGCGCCGCCAATGGCCGCCGCCGCCTGGGCCCGCTGACTATCGTCAGGGAGACGGAGCGAGGCCGGCGCCGCCCTGGCGGGGAGTCCCGGCGACGAGCCGCCGAGATCCAACATGGAGCTCGTGCGGCGGTCCAAGAACTTCAGCGTGGCCGAGAGCGACGCGCTCATCTCGCTCTGGAGCGACCCAGAGACCCAGAAGAAGTTCGACTCGGCCTACCGGCACTCGGTCATCTGGGAGATGATCGCCAACAAGCTGCGCATGCACGGATACGACCGCTCGTCCATCGACTGCAAGACCAAGATTAACAACCTCAAGGCGACGTACTTCAAGTTCCGCAGGATCTACAGCGCCGGTGAGTGCCGTGGTTGTGGTCGCCCACTTCCTTCCTGCTCGTGCGGGGGTGGCTCCGAAGATGGCCCCGCGCTTGCCCGTGTCTGCGGGATCGATAACACGCCGCGTGCAGGCGGGCCAATGTTTTGATTTGCGAAGGCGACCGTGCCCGACGGGGGCGTGGGCATCGCGCGCCGACAGCTGCGGCCGGGAAGTCTTCCGCTTCACGCCTCGCATCCTTTGACCCCGGGTGCCGACGCCCCGTCGCCGGTCGCGGGCCGGCCTTGGCGCCGTTTGACGTTTCTCACGTGTCCGCTGGCGTCTGGGGACATCACGCCTCCCCGCATCGGCTTCTCTCGTCCATCCGAATTGCTGGGGGGTTGAGTACTTGGCATCATTTTTTTAATGTTTTATTTGAGAGCGTATATATATGGTTTAGATTGGACCGGTTAGGTTAGGGCCCGGAAGCGAGCACTTCAAAAAACGCTATTCGCACTGGCAGAGGCGCATACTTGCATTTCTAAAGAGACGAAAGGAACTGGCAATATCGCGTTCGTGTTATACGCTGGAAAAACTCTGCAACACGTTAAAAAAAGGGGAAAATAAAATAAGAATAGGCGTGCTTTGCTTTGTACCTCCAGTGGCAGGCAACAACAATTAACAGATTGGCCAAATTGCACCCGGGTCTCGCTGTTCCACACTGTCTTCACTGGATTGCAGAATTGGCGCGAACGCGACGGAGGTGCTTTCTCTTATATTACTCCTCGCGTGGAGTATTTACTCGCGGAAACGGCAGAGTTCACCGCCTCAGTGGGCGCTGCGGATAAGCGGATTCTACTATTGCTCTGGCATGTACCCTTCGATCAATCCCTACCTACTTTTGATAGAAAGCGGGGAGAAAAGACCAAGAACGGCAGCGATTGCTTGTTTCCGTTTAAACTGTGTCTCATTCTCCGCGGCCCTCAGGGGTGTCCTTCGCGTGGGGATTCGTGCGGTGTTCTCTTTTGTTTTCAGAGTTTTCGGGGCTATCGAGTGCAGATTGCGAGACGACAGTTTTTATCTGGGCCCGTTAAACGTCCTTTGCGGTGGAAGACCACTGTTCCGTCGTGAACTCTGGTCGATATTATCTTGGAGAACGCCGCTGTAGCGAATGCCCCGTTTTTCCCGCGGCTGGCGGAGAGGCGTTGGGCAGCTCATGAAAGCGCCGGTGTCAGCGCTGCCCGGCGGGACACCGGCGACCCTCGAGAGCCGATTCGAGAAGCTCGAACACGATCACGCACGCCAAAGAGGGAGGCGGTAATGGGATGGTCTCTACGTCCCGCCACATTGGCAGATCCCTTTGGTTTTCGTTTTTAAAGCCATCTCGTCTACCTGGTCGCCTTCGCTGAAATGAACGCCGTCATATGGACGTCGCGGGCAGAGCTTCGGCGGAGGAAACGTCGTCCACCACGACGGATGATCTCTGAGTGGTCGAGACGTGTCCCGAGGTGCTGATGGAACGACGAGGTCGGCGCTGGCAAATGCCCTCGCCTGTGCGCCGCGGGTACCAGTAGCAAAGCGTGAAACACACGTGAGCAAAATATCGCGCCGCAGAGCGGCGTAACCATGACAACCATTGCTTCCGACGCACATTCATAGCACTCCTACGTCGTGTACAAAGAGTGTTTGTTGCAGACATGGAGGCCAGATTTACCTGCGTCACACCTCAGCCATGTTTCTTCATACATGCTCTGAACATGTCTGCAGACAGTATTACCAATGTGACACAACAGGCCTCATACAGTGCCTGCAGGCTGTATTTGTATTACCAGTGTGACTGTGCGGCTTGCCACAGTGTTTGAATACATCGCAGAAAAGACAATCTGCAAACAGATTCGAACGCGAGTCACAGCGAGATCCGTGCTTCGAATCATCTGCATGGCAGTGAGTTCGAGGAGAGAACTTGTCACGCGGCATTCGAATCAAGGATATTGCGGTGACTTTCGTTTCCGGACTGTCTTTTGTATACGAGCAGTGTGATACCGGCCCTGAGGAGGTTTGTGAGATCGCCTAAATATGGCGATAGCTCTCTCTCTGCCATGGCTCTAAGCATCCTAGAAATCCCTAAATCAGGACGATACACGGTCGACTTTTCTATTAAAAAAAAGAGAAGTAATCAAAGATCGTAACGCACCGAGGTCATTTCCGGCGATGGGAGGAGCATGTTGCGGAAGCAGGACCACTGTGAGTCAGTAGCGAGCGAAGGATCCTCGCGCCTCCGACCGCTGGAACCGCGGAGTGATATCTTCAATGCGCGCGGCTGGTTGCCCATATAGCCCGGACCAACGTTGGCCCGGACCAACGTTGGCCCGGACAACGATTCAACCCAGCTAGCGCGCGCTTGAGCGCTCGGCAACTGACGACCGGACATATCACTCCCGCGGAGGACAACAACTTCAACAACCGTAGTTTGCTGTTTTTGAGACGATGATTGCAGTATTACGTTCCTTCTTCTCGAAAAATTTACTTTTTTCTAGTACTCTTTACTTGTTTCTATGATATACAAAAGCATGCACATTTTGCAATAACCAGAGTTTCCAATCTCAGTGAAATATCGCGTTTTCCTTGGTCACAGCTGACTGCAGGCACAATGACCCTCCCATCGCCGGAGATAATTTCGATCTTTGATTGTTTTTAACAGAAAAATCGCCCGCGCATCTTTATGATTTTTGTATTTCTAGAATGCTTGAAGCCCGCAGAGTGAGTTATTATCGCCATATTTAGGCGATCCCAGAAATCCCCGAGGGCAGTTCAGGTTTTTGTTATCTCAACGCGAGCAGTGCTTCAGCGGTCGTGTATATTGCGTCTCGTGGATGTTATTAGGCTTTACTGAGAGGATATAAACGGTCTGTAGAGAAAAAAAAAAAAAAAAAAAGAGAAAGACGTTTACAACTTGCCCAACTTACAACACTTCTACGTTTACAGATCCTTGTAATGCGAGATCAGAACGCAGCTCTTGAGAAGGAGGACGGGAGTGTGTTTCCCTAGGCACCCTTTCTTCCTCCTCCTTAACCCGCTAAATTTAGCGGGAAAGTTTTCCGGCTATATTTAGCGGGAAAATTTCCTGGTGGATAAATTTAGTGAGTTAAGTTTTCCCGTTAAAATTAGCCGGGAAATCGACGTCACGTGACCTCAACATCAATTAAATTTCCCGCTAAATTTAGCGGGGCGGTTACGCCCACAGCGACGAAGACGACGCGAGACGCGGAAACGGCCGCCTAAGAAGCTGCGGTCTAAAATGTTTTCAAATATGATCGAAATCCAGATTTTAGCGCAGATGGCACGAGTTGGCTCTAGTGATGTCTCCTTCGGATTTAACGTTGAAAGGGAAGCAATATGGCACGTGTGGTATACCAACAGTTTCGTAAGTGACTTTGGAGACGTTCCCGGGCACGACTTGTAGCAACTTGTCTGCGTTTTCTCGCGAAACATGGCGCCAGACAGCAGGAAGTTGAAGCCGCCAAACATTGTGTTCGCGGCGTTCTTGTTTCGAGGTGCAAACGTGGAGCCTTTTGAAATTCTGCGATGCAAGACCATGGAATGGCAACGTCAGATAAACATATAATAATGCGCATTTATAACAACCTTCAATTAGAACCTGTATGTTAGTTAAATGTCACGTTGCTGTGGTTCACTGCGTCTCTGCCGTCAGGATAATGTAGTCTCTCCCAGAGAAGCGGCGAATGAGTTTCCCCGAATTCATTTGGTTGTGATTATCATTTTCAGCGAATGTCATTACATTTTCCCGTGCCGCGGCGCATAAATGACATTTGGCTCGCTGCAAATGACATTAATTTTCCCGCGTGACAGGGCTAAGTTACATGCTAGTTCAGACACCGTGCATGTGTCCAAGTTACGGCGTGATTGCTGCGATTATACCGTGCCGCTGCTAACTTTCATCATAACTAGGGCAGAACGGATAGCAGTCCGACTAGGTTACCGTTGAACATACTCTGGAATCTTGAGAGTTCGAGCCTCACGAAAGCACGCGTGTCCGTTTGAGATATCCCCTGTTGTCGGGTTAGTAAACCGCAATCGATCTATTTTACCAACTTCCGCTAAGCTAGTAATCTATAACTCACTCTGGTATTCGTACCTTAGCTACCATCAGCTTATCTGGGACGCGGCCGCGGCGGGAAATTTCGAAGGTATTCCTACTTGGAAAGAAAATGATTGGAACTACTTCCAAAACTCCACATGACTCCCCCCCCTGCTAAGCTTCTTTTCTTTTTCTTTTTTTTAAGCGATTTTATAACAATACATTGCATTTAGAATTACAGATTGACTGCAAATTTCGGAAGAGAGCTGAGACGAAATTCCCGATTTCCGGCGAATCTTGACATGCTGAGCAAAAACGTTGCAGCCCAGCCTACGTATACGGTGCGCCCCAAACTTAACGCCGCCACGAGATGGTCCGATTTCTTCACTTTTTGAGCTATTCCTGTACATAGCGGTCGAACGAGTTCGTACAAATTTGCGTCCCCGATGGAAACCCAACCTGGGGAAGGTATTCGAGCAGCTGCAACGACCAATTTATTTTTGAATACCATGAAATAGCTCAATATTTGCGTAACCGAGTGGCGGCGTTAAGTTTGAGGGGCACTGTACGTCACGCTGAATGTTGGGAGAATCATAGTAGGACACACTACGTAAAACAAATGATGAACTATACACTGGCTTGTTTACTAAACATCCTCGTGAGTCGCGATTTGCTCCTTGACTCGCTTACCATAAATGAGCCTCGTCACTTCTGTATACAATAGTCTATCAGTGCCATTATTTGTGCATCAAAGTGTGAAATAAAAAGTCTGCATCTATTGCCACTGTATGGGGCTGGGGACCTGCTAAGCTCTTTTGCACCTTTTTCCCCCGGCTTTCTCTTCATGGTATGATGAAAAATAGGGTTATTGTTATTATTACTATTATTATTATTTGTGTCGTTTCGGTCTCGACAGCCTAAATCCCCGACAACAAAGGCTAAGC